AGACAATTTTTCAATCCATATTTATAATGGCTTTGGTACTAAATTACAGTAAAACATCATGTTTGGAAAAAGCGAGAAGGGGGGGGGGGCCTCAAATACTACGTGCTTGGTTGTTTATGCTACTTTATAAAAGTGAAAAAAACTTATAAGTTCTATTCCCTCGACACCTCTCCATGCGCGAATCAAGGGGGGGGGGGGGGTCCCGATTCCACTGAAAGTGCTGAGTTACTAAATGCATATATTGAAGCAAATGAAATGACTTTTGACATCCCCTTTACAAATCATGAAAGTACGTTTCACAAGTTGACAAATCGCAAGTCTACAAAATACAAATTACATGTCATCATTGACATAACTTGCATTTACATTCTACACTTTTCAAGTTATGTTGGATAATTTACCATTAACAAATTGTGATAGAACAATTGACAAATAATGAAATCGTGATTTAGAATTTACAAATTAAGGTTCAAATGTGTACATTTTAAGATAATATAGAGTTGGAATTTTAAACCTGTTGGCTTTCCATAACATTTATCTCCCCAGTACCTGTTCCCTGTTGGCTTTTACACTTACCTCCCCTGTAACAAGTTGTTTGCCATCAGGAGAAAAAGCCAGTGAGGTGATGGTCTTCTTTGAGGTATTGAAGATGTGGGACTGTTTATTACGTCGAGGATTGAATAAAACCACCACACATCTGAAAAACAAAACTCCCTTCAGTAAATATCTAACGTCATGTGACCTAATAAAGACTCTCGTAGAGGAAATCCCCCATACTCCAAGGTTGAGCATGATTTGGGGGGGGGGGGGGTTTGAAATTGTTTTTCTGTATACTTGTATATTAATATGACTACTGTATACTAGGAAGTTTTCGCCCCCATTTTATTTCCCCCCCTTTCACCCTTATCACTTGTTGGTGACTTTAAAACGGGGCGAATTCAAAGAACACACTGACAGGATAATATTTTTTACCATTTGAACATTGATCCTCTTCTGTGTGACTGCAGCCTTGGCCAGAAGACCATGATACATGTAGTTAAATGAAATTTAATATCATATACCTAGTAGTGTATCAGCAGTGATACAGGCATTTTGGACTAGGTGAGACAGCACCTTGGATGTAGGGCTGTCTTGCCCTCAGGGCTGAGTAGGGCTGGATCAATATATCGGTAATCGGTATATATCGATATTTTTTAGCAATACGATAACCGATACAGAGATGCTTGCGTATTGCTCGATTATTTCAACGTTTAATTAAAAGAAAGAAAAACGTCAAAATGACTAATATTACGAACGACTTATCTAAAATCGTTTAAACGCATGTCAACATGTCAAAAGTGTAGGGTCGCTACGTAAAAGTTAGCAGCAAAAAGGCAAAATGTAATTATATTTGTCAACAAGAAGTGGCAAGTTCTGGTGGAACAACGAGCCTATATATTTATATCCATCACAGACGGCATCGCAAAGTTGACCTGTTTGCTACTGTGAAACTTGGAGGCAATTCCGGTAGGTAAAATGGCGCGTCGAAAAAAAGCAATGGAATGTAATCCGATAATAAGATATCAATCAGAATTTTTAAGTCATACTTTATTTCAACTCAAAGCATTTTGGAAGAATATTTTATCTGCCATTAAATTCCCATTACTTCCACGAATACGACGTCAAGTGAAGTACCAACACAGTCAAACAGGTCAATGTTATGATGTCGTCTGTGGCTTCAGAACGAGTATTTAGCACCAGTGGCAACATATTCACATGCACAACGGCTTGTCTGAAATCTGACTAAGTGGATCGATGCTTTGATTTTTCTGAAGAAAAATATGGGCAACTAACATTAATTTGTCAAACACTTATCCATTCAAATAGAATTAAAATAAACAAGGATTTAAAATGTTTTATTATTGTAAAGTTATGCTTTAATAAAAAAGTACTATCACCTCTTTAACAGTTAAAAAAAACATGCAAAAAATAGTAAATTCTCATTTGTCTGTATCGGCAATATGTATCGCATATCGCACCTCTGTATTGCAATATGTATCGTATCGAAAAATTTATTTCAATACCCAGCCCTAGGGCTGAGATATCTCTGTCTCGGCCCGTCGTCAAGGGGCTGTCTTACCCTCAAATTTCAAAATTTTAATGATTATTTCTGTTTAATTTGTGTGAAGTAAGAGTAAAATTCATATTTAAGTATTAAAGAGAAACATTATATATATCGAAAAATTTAACTATAATCTTTAAAGAATATTCATTCATATCAGAATTTTGAGAAAATTGTTTATTAAATGTGCGCCAAATGATAGCACTTGTGACGTAAGAGAGGTACCGGTAACTCTTGTTTACTTCTAGGGCAGCAACAAATCATGTTTAGAAACAAGAGACCCATGGGCCTTATAGGTCACCTGATCATTATGTAACAACTTTCCAGTTGTTGAATTTGATTCATGTTTTAAGCTAGATGCTATGGCATTCACAATTTTGAAAGAGGCACCATTGATCATCATAACAATACACTTAGCAGTTGCTTGGCTTGGCTACTTAATACCCATAGGCAGGGTAGGGGAACAAAAAATGCATTTCAACTAATCAGTAATATTCAGCAATAATCAGTAGTACCCTTACCACACATGAACCCCTGACCCTTAGGCCTAGATTCACACACAAATCAGATCTTTATCAATGCTTTGAAATTCTGATGGTCACTATACGAAGACCATCAGAATTTCAGAGTGTTACTAAGATGTGGTTTTTAAGATATGAATGATGAAGAAAAAATTATCACTGACCTTGAACTTGCCAAAATGACCTTGAGTCAAGTTCCTGACATACCCGCAGGTCATAAACAATTTCTGTAGCAAGTATGTTTCCAATGATTCTGATTATAAAGTTATGGACTGGATAAGAATTCTATATTAATTATTTTATTATTTTATAAGTCAGTAATCTTAAGACTTGCTGCAATGACCCTTGCTTTGAGGTCATAACTTTCAAGACATAAACAATTTCTCTACCAAGTATGAACTTCCAAATTATGATTCTCCATCACAAAATATATCCCAGTCAAGAATTTAATACCTTTTATTGGCAATTACCATGAAATTGCTGAAATGACCATAATCTGTATCTACCAAAGTGTAACAAAATATAAACATAAAGGAATACAGTTTCAGATTTACCTTCCTTGTTATAACTCTTCAGTTTTTTGTTTGTTTGTGGTTTTTTTGGCATTATCTGAGTTACTGAGATTAATTATTTGAGGAACAAAATGAATTATATCCCAGCTGATATCCACACAGACAGACAGACTCACAACATAATGAATGATATCCCAGCTGATATCAACACAGACAGACAGACTCACAACATAATGAATGATATCCAAGCTGATATTCCCACAGACAGACAGACTCAAAACAAAATGAATGATATCCCAGCTGTTATCCACACAGACAGACTCACAACATAATGAATGATATCCAAACTGATATCCCCACAGACAGACAGACTCACAACATAATAAATGATATCCAAGCTGATATTCCGACAGACAGACAGACTCACAACATAATGAATGATATCCAAGCTGATATTCCCATACTTGCCAACCTCCAGCATGTAAAAATCTGGTCATGACCAGATTTGGAAAGTAAAAAATCTGGTCATAACGCGTAACGACATTCACGACATATTTACCATGATTAAATTATATACATATATATACAAAGTATTTGTGTATTGAGAATTCTTTTATTGAAAAGGGATTTTATTTACTATGACAAAAAATTCATACACAATTTGATTCAAATTTACATGTTAAAAATGAAAATTGAAAGTTTCATATTTCAGTATTGACCTGAAGCAAGTGTGCATTTTTTTTTAAAAAGCCTTTTCAGTTTCTGCTAAATTTGAAAGTATACCAATTTCAGTTTTGAAGTTATTTTTTCTCTCTCTTAATTAATTAACTACTGCAATATGTTTTAAATGTTAAGTTAGGCCTACACTGTCTTCGATCACTTTATTTTATCTAGAATGAAAGTTTTTTTTTCCAAAGATTCCTTGATATGTAACGTTACATAAATATCGTTTCTCTTTTTCTTGGTTCAATCAGAGACATGTGTTTGATTCAATTTGTTCCTGTTGGCCCTGATAACGATCTAGTTCTATCGGAAGCCATTTTAATTGACTTCAAACATTGATTTGTCAAAACAACACCCAGTTAATTGTTTACACCTGCACTGATAATTAATCCATCGGCATTGTTTACGGCATTGTCTAAGCTTGAGTTGTAACTGGAAGTTAAAAGTGCAACCTAATTTACGAACCAAATCCGGAAAATCGGGAGATTTTCAGGTTGTTCGGCAAAAATCGGGTGATAAGCATGACCCGCCGGGTCATAAAAAATAATCGGGTTACGGGTTGAAAAATCGGGTGTGACCCGACGAAATCGGGTGAGTTGGCAAGTATGTATTCCCACAGACAGACAGACTCAAAACATAATGAATGATATCCAATCTGTTATCCACACAGACAGACAGACTCAAAACATAATGAATGATATCCCAGCTGTTATCCACACAGACAGACTCACAACATAATGAATGATATCCAAGCTGATATCCACACAGACAGACTCACAAAATAATGAATGATATCCAAGCTGATATTCCCACAGACAGACAGACTCACAGCATAATGAATGATATCCAAGCTGATATCCACACAGACAGACAGACTCACAACATAATGAATGATATCCCAGCTGATATCGGCACAGACAGACTCACAACATAATGAATGATATCCAAGCTGATATCCACACAGACAGACTCACAACATAATGGATGATATCCCAGCTGTTATCCACACAGACAGACAGACTCACAACATAATGGATGATATCCAAGCTGATATCCACACAGACAGACAGACTCACAATACAGGTGTGTACAATAGTGCATTCTGATCTTGTCAAAGCTGGGCAATACACAAGGTACCACACTACAGGTATATATATTACTTGACCTACTTACCACCTACTTAACAGGTCAGTTATTGTCAATGGGTTTACTAATTAGACTGTGTGGGATACATACCCAGCTACACACCATTATAGTCAGAGGATTGTAATTGATGTAAGAAATGTCCTCAGTAAAATAATTTCATCTTGAATGCACTTTTGTGACCAGTGACCATATCATTGCTGATTACTGGCTGACTCAGCATATTTTCGTTATTCTGGGTTTTTTTTTCATGTTTATAGAAAATTTCTAATAAATGTAGTAAATCCTCACCATGTCAACATTTAAACTTATCCTCCCCTGTCTGTCATAATCATGTTATTAAACATACAAGATTAAGATGAAACATCAGGTAAACCTAGAAGAGTGATTTTTGAATTCCTCATGTGATGTAACAGCCATACAAGTGTATGGATCATTCAATTACTATCCTGACATCTCAAAATGTACCATTTGCAATGGTTTTAATTTCATGCTGCAAGAATTTAATTCAAAATTTCCTATAAGCATTTAAGTGGTTTAAGAAAATATTATTAACATTCAACATGTCCAAGATGGGTTTAATTTCACGGAATAAATCACGAACATAGCGAAATTAAAACCATTGTGTTTATTTGCCAATCTATAGTATTCAATGGAACTGAGAAATGTAAATTAAAAGTAGCAGCTAGCATTTATACTGTAGCTGTATACAGGTATTAAAATTCATGTAAGAGAATATAGCTGGTCTTGTGTTATGCTACATGTTCTACTCTCACTTTGCATGCTAATCTGTTCACTAAAACTCAGAACCTCAGTCCTCCTAATAAAACAGTTCTGCAAAGTCAGCTGTGGACAACATAATGTCAAGTCATCAATATTTATTCAATATACGCTTAAAATCTGACTTGTCACATGGTTGTATTAATCCCACTTTATGGGTTATACAGAACTGTGTAACATTAAACTAAGATTTCAAGCACTAAAGATCACAACAGATCCCGATACCAATCCTAAATCCCGGGACACCTGTTACATTGTAGGGACCAGTACTAATGTCAGCAAGATCAAGAATTCTCCCCCCATACAAATCCTAAAATCCCCATCCCATCTGATACAGGTAAAAAAGGGGAACATGACCAAAATCAATCAAACTGATTACCCAGGAAATTTACAGCTGTCTTAACTTTAAACGAAATCATAAGAAAATCACTGCAGGATACAACCTTAGGTAAAGATCATTAACTTGTTCAAGTTCAGATGGTCATAAACAGAACATTTTATGAGATTCTGTCTCTGTGTGTGATTTGACGTGGTTCACAAAAACCTGTATAACAAGATCTGAGGAAGACAGGGGTATAGTATTGCAGCTAACACAGGTAATCAGCTGTCCACCCAGGTAAATCAAAGTATCACTAATGATCAAAAGCCCCCTCACTTTCCAGGGTCTGATGTCAAAGATAGGGGATCCTCTTACAGCACAGAAACCAGACACTGTAAACAAACTTCTCCTATAACACATAAATATACAGGTCTTCTCGACCCAGAATGCATACAATTGTGTACAGTGGTAAATAAATAGACAGTCAACTGCATCGCTCAAACAATCTTTCCCATTTTTCTCAATACAAGCATCAAGACTTGTTATTCCTTCATACTTAAGGGCTTGATGCATGAAAAATTATCTTTTAATTGATAGGTCTGACATACCGGTATGTCATATAGAATTTTTCTATTCCAAGTTTAGGTGAATATGAATACAGTCCATTTACATTATGAAGACTTGTAATATATATGGAAAAAGAGACAAGCTTATTCAATTTCTTAAAAAAATTTAAATGGACCATCAACATTATTGAGGAGTAAGTCAGCTTTTCCGCTGTCATAAATGTGGGTGAATGCTCATTATTAACACACTGCATACAGCAGCCATTTGTCAGAGAAACATGGATTACTGTAATCACAGGTCCAGTGATTCATGAGAACTTTCTGTCCTACAATATAGTGACAAGACATACACACCCTGCAGGATAGGCGATGGTCCCAGTGTTAAGGTCACAGGTCAAGGTCGCATTGGTACTGACTGTGAGACCGATCACACGCTCTAGGGTCACCTACAAAAAATAAGTTACTGCTTAGTATCCACCATACTTACTTATGTGTGATCATTAACAATATAGTACAAAAATTACATGTATAAATTAGTTTCATTAAATAAAAGTCTTACATCCAAACATGAACCTTTTTTTTATGATTTCCATAAAATATTGCAAATCTTATTTATTAACAGATTAAAAATTTCAAATATTTTTCTATTGAATTCTAATTTAAAGATGTTTTAGATAGATCTTACACATATTGCAATGCATCAACCTGATATTCTAAAAAGTGAAGAAAAAAAACTACTAGGTGGCATATGTTACTGAAAAAATATGAATTCCATCAACCTAATCACAAACATGACAAAACTTCAAAATGTTAAGTATTCAAATCAAACTACTGAAATTTAAACTTCAATTTTTCAGTGAAATAACATTTAATTTTGAAGGAAGTTCCAATACTTTGTTTTCAAATCAGCCACATGCAGTTGGACACAATCGACAATGTCAGATGCAAACAGTTTCAGATTATCAAACTCACAAATATGTGGGGTTTGTGTAAAATTCACTCAAAAATTAACCAAAAAAATTCTGAAATTGTTAAAGGTCAATTTTAAACACAAGTCCACGTCACACCCTACCTCTTTGAGAGCCTGCTTCTGGAAGTAGACACCAGACGCCATATTGTTGATGCATTAGTTAATTAAAACTCATAGACTGGTACTTTTAACACAATACAGTATATATACTCCCTATTTATTTTTAGGTTCTCAAAATCAACCATGATCAATACAACTGAAGAGTTGGGGGATTTCATAGACAGAAGACCAAAATATAATTATCTGTGCACTAAATTTCATTTCAGTATGTGCAATGGTTGCAAAGAAAATGAATGGAAACTGCAAATAATTGAAATGTTTGTAAGTCCAAGGGGCACAACTCTGTCAAAACTGGCGCCATTGAACCCAAAACAAAACATGACCTCGATATTCATGTGATATATCAGTATGCCAAATTTCATTTCAGTATGTGCAACGGTTGCAAAGAAAATGAACGGAAACTGCAAATAATTGAAATTTTTCTAAGTCCAAAGCGCATAACTCCAGCGATTTTTTTCCACCCATTGGGAAAGGGTCCGGTACCGGTTCAATTGGGAAAAATAACATCGAAGTTAAACAAAGGAGAATTTTCTCTAATTTATGCAAATGCGACTTATTTTGCGTTTATTCCTACTTAATTACCTATAACTGCTTGTTTTAAAGAATAAACAACAAGTACGTATTGTTTTTATATCAACGTCCCTTGTTTTCACATTGTCATATATGCTTTCAATTTGTCAAAATATATGACACAACACTGTCTAAACCACTGCTCCCGCCAAATTACTACTTTCTCTACTTTCAATTTAAGCAGATTAGTGAAACAAACTTGTACAATGTTTCATTTAACAAGAAATACGATGTCATCGTAATCTTTTGCTTCACAGTTGAATTGGGAAATTTTTGTCATAGAATTGGGAAAAATTAACGTTTTTTGGCATTGGGAACGGTGCCGTTTATCGGTACCAGTTATATAAGGAAAAAAAACGCTGAACTCTGTCAAAAATAGTTTGATCGTACCCAAAACAGAACCTGACCTAGATATTCATGTAATTTATCTGTAACTATACCATATTTAATTTCAGTATGTGCAACGGTTGCGAAGAAAATGAACTCAAACTAAGTGGACCGACAGACTGTGAGCAGCAAAACAATATGCCCTCCCTTCACTCTAAATCTCCCTTTTGTCTCCTGTCAGGTTTTCTTCATTTCCCAAATTTCTTTCCTAGAGCATTCATTCTCAGCCCTAGTATGTTTCTAGCCTCCCTAGTTGTAATGATGCATTCTATGTCTATAGAATGATGTAGAAATATTAAAGCGTTTGTACTTTCTGCCAAGGAAAACACAGTGATGCAATATTATTAATGGAGATGTTCATCAAACGCTGGATGCAGCCAAATCAAGGTGACACATCAGTGTAAACAAAACTCCAAAGAGACGTGCCTAAAATAGCCACAAAGTGTGTTATAACTGTTATCTTTGTAACACAGCGAGCAGATGTTCCCCTGTAACACTGACAGAATTAACCACACAACAGATAGGGACACCTCACAGTGTCAACATAGGGATAAGATAACTCTCATTTATGTAGGTCTGCAGTAGATAGATACTTGTTCATGTATTTCATGCCCACCCTTATGGTGGTTATCTGATCTCTTCTGGTTTTGCAGAAAGTATCTATATCTATATTTAAGTTCTCAAACCTCTAAAATATGTTCTGGACAATACAAATTAATGTTGGTTGGGGTGGTGGTAAAGAGGAGAATTTTGGGTAGAAGGGGGTGTTGCATGCTGGTGATCAAAATATGATAAATATACATAGCATGAAAAATTACTATTTGCATGCTTAAATCTAAGGGCTTCTGTAACAGAAAAGGAGAAAAATGAGGACCACGAGGCACATGCAGGTCCTGGTCTGGTCCATCACAATTTCTCCTAATTACATTTAGTCCATGCCCTGGAAATCACACAGGAAAGACCTGCTAAGAAAGAGTCTGGGTTGGTCTTTCAGGGTGGGTGGGGGGAGGGGATTGGGTGTGTGTGTGGGAAGTTGAAGACCTTTTATGGAGGGAGGAATGTGGGGTCAGGATGGTCAGATAACTCAATTGTTAGAGAACCTGACTTAAGTGATTCAGGGGGCCTGTATGTCAGTCTGGTCCATCACATTTTAACTCCCTTTCTTGTCACAGTTAAATAAAAAGGGAACTTTTCAATAGATAATTTAATAATTTCTTGATATACAATACCAACATGGTCATGAAAGTCCCATAACAAGAAAACACCTAAACATGCTAAATTAAACTTGAAGGGTTTTAAATTCTAATTTTGGTAGATAAAGATTGATTCACTGCAAACAGTTCATTTAGCTATTAATCATAATAATATTACATTTAATCCCACATTTTACAATGACATAGAAATACAACTGTACCTGTTTGTAAAACAAGGTTTAATGTTGTCAGACATTTTACTAAAATTCACTTAATCAAATATAGGATTTTGCTATAAGGAAATGATCTCTTTTAACAAACTGAAAAACAAACCACTGTATCAGGAAATATTTGAATTTTAAATTTATATACAGAGGCCCTACAGAAGGAATGATAACTGACAAAAATAATTTGCATTTTAAAAAATTGTTCTTGAATGCAAATGAATTCATTTGAATCAAACTCTTACAGATAACCAGCTTTTTTTCAGTTAGACAGTAATTTAAGAATGAGTTCTAAATTTAAACAAAACTTCGTAGAAAAAAAAATAAGCACTGAAACACTGAATAAAGGAAGCAACACTGTGTATTCATACAGTACAACGACACTAATGAATGACCTATAAATAGGTGACAGAAGACAAAAGCCAGGTATCCACAAAGACATTCCTGTGGTAGAACAGAGAACCAAGGTGAAAATCCAAAATAAGGTCACCGGGCAGAAATAGGCCGATGTCCGGCCCGATTTAGGGGGATACCTAGGTAAACAAACTGGCCAGTGATAGCCTTGTGTATGCATGTATAACTTTGGACGTTATTTGTGTTTCGGTTTTATGTATACAAAACTGCCCATGGAAAGACTTGCTAATTATCAGGCATACAAAAAAGGTTTGAATGATAACTCACAAGGTGGAAATACACTTCAAGTAGTTCATATTCAATAAAGAAATACCTGTACAGGTGTAATTATATAGACAGATAAATCTGTGTGTTTAAACGTCCCGATCACCTGGGGGATTGAAATGAAGAGTGGTGGGTCGATAGTATCGTCTGAGAGCTGACCCAGGGGTACGATACTTACTTTACGGAGTGCAGCAGCTGATGAGGATCGGAGTGCAGCACGCGGCATAATTCCTGTCACGTTAAATCTCCATCATCAGCAGACAAAATATTCCTGCTACCGGTTCACAGTCCTAAACAGCTGACTGAAATATACATCTCTGCACACACGGCACAAAAAGTCACCTCCCGCATAATCTTAGTCGTAAAACATACACCTGATTAAATCACATGAACATCTGTCATGACAAGTGACAAAAATAAACAAGGTCTTTAACATATAGGTCCGATAGATACTAGTCACTTTTTTAACAATGAATGAATTCCTCGAATCGTCATTTAATTTATCCCCTTCCTTGGACTGTCACAGTAGTAATACACACCAGGGGTAATGTACGCATCTCGTCAATCTCCCAATCAGATGGGACCGTCCTCTTATCAGGTTTATCTCCAGGGCACATGCTATTGTTGTGAATTTGTATGAACAGGTTTTAAGTCGCTAATTAATGACAGAACCCTCTTTCTGCAGTACAAGACAAGCTTAGATGGGCAGTGAAGTCATGTGTAGCTGTCTCGACTACCTACATATGTCTATCAGGTGTTAAGATGTACATATACAGCAGGAACATTTACCTAGGGACCATCAAAAAGTTTACTACAATTCATAAAATTAAAGGCAGAGATTTTTTACCGGGTGGTAAATTCCAGGTGAGGGAGGGGCTTATTTTGTACAGGTGTGAATGCCTTGGGGGCTAGCAGTCTACCTGTGGTCATCTGTCTCCTAATCCCTATACACAGGAAGTGATTTAATACACAGTAAAATATCCCAGGTGTCAAACCTTACCTGTGTTGGCGATTTTGAGAGAATTTTGAAATAAGTAGTAAAAGGTTGTTTTTTTAAAATTGTATATTGATTTATTTTTTGACTGTTTGAAAACAACCCTACCCATTTAAAAAGATTATTATGATATCATACAAGAAATTCAAATATTAAAACAAAGATTGTTTTAGACGTTAATGCAAAGCCATGTATTAAACTATTTATAAGAAAAAAAACAACTCATGTAACAACCAAATTAGACTAAAATAATTCATTTATTTCCGGGATCCCATCTATGAATTAAATGAAAAGAGGGTTGTGTTAAGTAAATCTCACTAAAAAAAATATCGAGGTTTATCTTAACCTTAGTATAGCTTTGTCACCATGAAACATACTAAAAAGAATATGATTGTAAATTCTTATTTGATTAAAACAGGAAATCTAAATATATTAAGTGACTCATGATTAGAAACATTTTTTTTAAATTTAATTACTTAACACAGTGCTGCTCTGAACTTATATCATAACATTTCCACTTTAAGTTTACCCTTTAGCAGACAGCATTAAAATTAAAATCGAAATTTCATTTGAAAAAACATTATGTACCAAAGTTTTTTAAAATGCATATTATATTGTAATCTTTTCAAATACTAAAGGTAATTCATATATTATTAATCTAAAAATATTCATAATCATGTTCTGATCAGTAAACATCAAAGGATCATAAGTTAATTAGAAGGTCACCACGAGTCCCAAACAAGATGTACAGGGTATACACAGAGACCAGTTAGTAAATGTCAAAAAATCAAGTTCCAGCATCCAAGGATGGACCTTCAAGCACTTGATTGACAGGGCTACCCAGACCAGGTATTTTTGAAGGCGGTGCTTAAAATCTCTGCCTTTAAGGGACTGTCTCAAAAGTTACTTTCAGATAAGGGGACAGTCCTCAAATACATTAGTCAATACACATTATATAATTGAGCCAATTGAATGGATTGTAATTATTTTTTGGACTAGACTGAGCCATTGACTCAGAGATCATCTATCACAACAGAATCAAAAGGAAACCTTCATCAGATGACCCTACAGGCTTTGTCAAAACTTGACAGTCAAATATCCTAGCTAGTCAGATTTTATCTGAAAGCTATAAACATGATAAAGAGAGCTTACTTAAATTAATAAACAAAGAACCATAACACAGGGAAACAAAGTTCTTATAATAATATAAACAGATCAAAAACAGTGCGTACAGCTAGGCCTATTCCACAAATACACACTGTGAAAACTGAGCTAGATGCAATTTTTTCTGTTTATGACAAATCAATTTACATTCATTTGTTCATTTATGAGGCATAAAATACAGGAAAAAACTATGAATACACAAGAGAAGTCAAGTTATTCTCACAGCTTTCCGAGTTCAGTGAATGAACTTGAAAGTTTTCCTTGAAAACGTTGCTTTAAATCTGATACTGCATGGGCTTACAAGCAATACAACTAAATACAGCTAGAGAGTCAGCTCAAATACACAACTTTTATAGATTATGTAGATAAAGCCTAAACATTTACCATGTTAATCTAGCATTTCTGGACAACCTTAAAGCCTCATAAGTATAGAAGGCTTATTGGTTCATCATTCAAATTCATTTATAACCAGCTGCAGAAAAGTGGGAGCTCAGTGTAAGTTATGTTCACTCAACTTCATTCAACAGGATCAAGTACTCAACCACAACTTGTATGATATAAAATTATAATGCAAGTGTTATAACCAATTCCAAGATATAATTCATGATAATGTTATTGATACAGCACAAGATGTGAACTTTATGAAACACCAATGCCCCCCCTCCCCCCCCCATAAATTGTGAGGTCAAAAAATGTTTGTACTAGAAATTTTTAGAAAGGTTTTTTTCACTTATGCACACTAATACAAATAAAAAACAAAAAACTTTTCCTTATCCAATAGTACTAAATAAATGCTTCTAAATTTTTGCCACTCTGTTAATTTGAAACTCCCAGATGAAAAATTATACAGTACAGGGCCCTGAACCGGGTCAGTAAAGCCCTGTCCCAGATATATACATAGAACACCTATAGATATAAATTGCCTGTATTTGGGGCATGTAATGAAGGCATTCACTATTCAAATACAGTTAATACCCGCCATTATCCATTCATATTAATGTGATAATAGAACCTATTTCTCGAGATCACTGGACTAAATTCCTCAGACTCTAATTCCACGCCTAACAGGGAAAACTCGGTGAAAAATGTCTGTCTTAATTCAACCCCATCCACATGCTCAGTACAAAAAACAAAACCCCTCAATCAGTGAATGAGTATCAAAAATAATGCCACTCAAAGATACATTTAATATGAATACTTATCTACCATTTTTTTTTTATAGATATATTTGATATTTTTTTTAACAAAACTTAGAGAACAATTACCATCTGAATAGTGATGCCTTGGCGTCAGACAGCATTAAATTTAGTCAAGGCTTAGATACTGAACAATAGTATTCTTATGATACCTCAAGCTTGGAAACTTCAAATTAATATCTTATGCATGAAGAGTAATAGAAGTGTTTCCAACACCCAATCAAGCTAAAGCATTGGGGTGGGGGTGGGAGGGGGCAAAATTAATCTTCCTAAATCTGATATATACATCATTTTTATCAATATTTTGCATAATAATCATTACAGATTTCAGAAGATTTTGCCACTAGCCATTTTTGAATGCATCACTCATGTCCAGCAAAACAACAGATATGAAGCTAATGTTCGGGTCAGGAATGAGGCCAATACTTCAATCCCCGTCAGATTATTTACATGTAATGAGTATTTAATTTATTCTTAATTAATCTTTCCACAATACTGTAAATGTATTATATTTAGCGTGTACAATATTTGGCGGAAATTGATTTTGGAACAAGTTAGCACAGATTTGATTTAGCGGATTTCTAAATGTTGTTATTAATGAATGCATGTGAAAGACATTTAGCGTTGTACTTGAATAAGCGGATGTTTCTTTCCGCCAAAAGCCCTAAAAAGAATACACAGCCAAATGTAAAATGTTTACAGTATATGATGAAGCAGGAATATCTGACCCTGTTTTCACCATGATCACTGATACAGGAACTTTAGGTCTTCCACTCAAAAACCACTTATTTATAGAATTACACAGGACCTGTAACACTCAGGTAGGATATGCATGTTGTATCATCATTAGACATAAAGATTAAACGACAACAAATAAGTGAAATGCAATCAAGCTTAACGATTGTTTGTCAACCTTGTGTGTATCATGTTATGTAAAAAGCATTGCTCTTAGAGCATTATCTATACACAAAGCCTTAAAGTTTTCTCTTCTTAATGAAATCTGCTTACAACTTTTAAGTATATACACTGCATCAATATGCTCCTTCAATGGGTTTATTTAGAAGCATGACGTGCAATGCATGGTAAAATGATGGTTGAAAGTAAACCAAAAAATGTCATAGCCTCTTTTAGTTCTAAATACATTAAAGCACAATTCTTTATATAATTGTTTCTGATATCTTACATCTGTTTAATACAAGACATTGTTAAATACAACTGTCTTCCAACTTTTAAGATGTGCATATGTGCAAATGGACCCCCCCCCCCCATTTCTTCTCCCCCAAAACAAATCCTCTAAATAAAAGTGCACATCACGAATGACAGCGATTTACATTATTTGCAATTTAATTTACAGACTTTGTTTACTATTTTCCACCATAATTTGACCGGGAAATCTTACGTGTACAAAACGTAAACATTTGTCACGTCCAATAACAGATCGCGCTTCGTGGGGCCCAGTTCACCTGTCCGATCTCACCTTACCCTTTGATTTATAGGAACAGGCCGACTCCGTCTCTTCAGAGTCGGGGATCGGATAATCCTTCTAGAGACGTCCATCTTTCATTTTCTGCAGGGACATGTTCACACCGAAATGTCCACTAACACGGGTTATGCATAACAATGAACACAAGTCCTTACTCCATTGCAGTTTTGAATCAGAAACCATGCATGCTACGTCAAACAGGCGCTTGTAACCCATGTTTTCATTGGATAATTTAATTTGCATACTCTAGATCCATTTGAATATTTCATTTTTTTTTTTCAGTTCAAAAATAAATAAATTAAAGATTAAAAAAATAAAGGAAAATGAAATGAAATATAATAAATGTAAATAAAAAATAAATTAATTGATTAAATAAAATATTAAAACATAAATTAGGGTCTTCTTGAAAATAAAAATTGTCTTTGATATCATCAAATCTTCATGTACATGTAGTACTATGTAATCAATATATTCCATGATTATTTTCAATAGAAAAAATAAATTGTTTGATATACCTTTTTCAACTCATTTTCATCGTAAGACATTTTCAAATACATAAATGCCAAAAGAAAATTTCAATTTTTCTATTTAATTCTCATCAACATTTTTCTATTTTATAAATGAAGAAAATTTAAAGGACTTTATTTATAAATTGAATTGACCGGGCTGATGACTTTCATGTAGGCATTTTTATAATTCGTCTTTAACGTTTTTTTTTCTGTCTCTTCAGTCGTTTTCAGTGTTTTACAATATAGTTTGTTATTTGAAAGCGAGAGAGAGAGAGGGGGGGGGATACGTACACCACTCAAGA